ATCTTTTTCAAGGTCCTTTTTTTTTCTTGTGATCACTTTTTATTCTTCCAGCAATTTGTAAATACATCTGCTACAGTAGATACTATAATACTATCTATTACAGTAAATTTTTATCTCCATTAGGCAGTACTTGCTGGGCTGGCAGTCTATTTCCTGAGTTTGAACATAGAATATGGACATATGTGATTTAAATCTAACTGTACAGGTAGTCCTCGACTTACAACATTTGTTTAGTGACCATTCAAAGTGACTTATGACTGTTTTTCACAGTTATGACCTTTACAACATCTCCATAGTCATGTGATCAAAATTCAGTTGCTTGGCAATTGGTTCATATTTATGACCATGGCTGTGTCCCAAGGTCACATGATCTTTTTTTTTTTATTAAAAGTTTTACAAATTACAATATAAACCCACCCATCACCTCCCCCCCTCCCCCACTTCCCAGAGCTGATTGCAGGGTAACAAATAAACAAACACACTCTAGCTAACATAAACCAACTAAACTATCAATCAAAACCATAATACACTTTAACTCCTTCTCAAAACAAATATTAACAAATTAAGACAAAAATAATAATACCATTAATACTATTAATAATTATCTAAAATCTATTCAAAAGTAAGATAATACTTTTCAGTTTCATACTTCTTCTGAATATAATCAATCCATCTTCTCCAAACCATAATATATCTTTCTTGTGAATGATCCTTCAAATAGGTGGAGATTTTCGCCATTTCTGCTAAATTAGACACTTTAAGTATCCATTCTTCCAAAGTGGGCAATAAGTTTTTCTTCCAATATTGCCCCACCAATAATCTTGCAGCAGTTATGAAGTTCAACATCAAACTAGTTTCTTTAACATCCAAATCTACAATAATACCCAACAAAAATAATTGCGGAGTAAACTTTATCTTTTTCTTAAAAATCTTTTGAATATTCCACCAAATCTTAATCCAAAAAGCTTTAATATCTTTACAAGTCCACCAAATATGAAAATAAGTTGCATCTAAATTTCCACATCTCTAACATTTGGGCTGTAATTTCGGATACATGCGGGACAACTTTTGGGGATCCAAATGCCATCTATAAAACATTTTATAAAAATTTTCTCTTAAATTTTGTGCTTGAGTAAATTTTACATTTCTAACCCAAATTGTCTCCCATGTATCCAATAAAATTGGCTCTTGGATATTTTGCGCCCATTTAATCATACAATCTTTAACTCCGTTTCAGAGTCCAATTCTATTAAAGCATTATAAATTCTTTTTATATGAAATCGACTTTGATCTTTAATCTGTTTTACCAAATTCACATCCTCTAAAATACCAACCTTTTTATCTATATTCCACCTCAAAACAATTGATTATAATGAAACCAAGAATATACAATATTTTCTTGCTTCAACTCAGTTAAAGGCTTTAATTGCCAATGCTGCCCAACCAAACTAAGTAATTCCTTATAAGAAATCATATCCAAATTTACTCCCCTAGATACTCCCTCTATCACGTGTCCTGGAACCCCCCAAATTGGAATTTTATAATTTAACCTATAGTAATACTTTTTCCAGACACGCAGCAAGGCACTTCTCAAAATATGGGTTTTAAAAACCTGATCCACTTTTTTATCATAAATTAAATATGCGTGCCATCCATATAATAAATCCCATCCCTCAAGAGATAGGATATTCTTATTTGTTAAGTTGAGCCAATCACTAATCAAGGTTAAAGCCACTGCATCATAATATAATTTTAAATTCGGTGCCTTTAATCCTCCTCTTTCCCATGTATCCTGCATAATTTTAAATTTAACTCTCGGCTTTTTCCCTGCCCAAATAAATTTATTAATCCCCTTCTGCCATTCTTCCAAATTGGCATCTTTTTTTAAAATAGGTATCATCTGAAATAAACAAAGAAACTTTGAAAGTATATTCATTTTAACTGCAGAAATTCTCCCCAACAAAGATAATTGTAATTTTTTCTAATCATTTACCAAGGTCACATGATCTTTTGCTACCTGCCGACAAAGTCAATGGGCAATCCAGATTCACTTAACAATCGGGTTGCTAACTTATCAATTGCAATGATTTACTTAATAACTGAGGCAAGAAAGGTCGTAAAATGGGACAAAACTCACTTAACAAATGTCTCAACAACAGAAATTTTGGGTTCAATTATGGTTGTAAGTCAAGTACTATTTGTAGTTGTCCCTGAAGTAAAAACCATTTGATAGTGATGCTAATGATGCGATTGCCATACTCATATCTTCTGTTGTTTCTTTATATCACAAATAGCTATGAAGTCCAATAGTTAAACTAGCTCTTTCTATGACTGATATTCTGCTGTTCAGGGATTTTATTCATTCTATTGTTATAATAGACAATTTGTTCAACAATATAATTTAAGGGTGGGAAAGGCAAATCCACCAATTTATTTTGAATCTTCCAAAATTTTGAATCTTACTCTCAGTTTTTTCTCCACTTATTATTCTTTGCTAGTTCTGCAAGCTTTTGTCTATGACTGAAATTAGTGCCACTTGGAATGGGAAATCTATTTATGGAAGAATATTAAGTTTTACTGCTGTAATTTTTCCAAAATTGTCGGGATCTTATTTTATTTTTCCCCCCATTATTTATGATTTTTTAAAAACAAATGGTGATCTGGCCATGTCACGGGAATTATGATAACATCCCTACTGCCCCAACAGGGAAGCCAGTTCCAAGTGTGATCATAGTTACACACTGGGCCCTTGATGACTTGGGTCAGTTGATTCTGTGGCCATTAAATGTATCTTAAACCAGTGTTTATGTAGGAATGAGCATTTATTATGGGCCAATAAATTTACCATCAGTTCAGGCAAGGCAGAGATTCTGTAAAGAATTAGGGACATCAAATGGACTTATTCTTGGATCCATCATTGCCACTGATCACCAGGGCTCAGAGTTCTATTATTAGATCTGGCTGAAATACCAAATATAACCCTATTTGGACTGAGGTAGCCTAACAATTGCTATGTCCCCTTGACTAACCCCATTTAGGATACTGAAATTATACACAAGGCTTCACTCTCTCTAGATAGCACTCAGATTTAGCACGGCGATGATCCCTGTTGCCTATCTGAATTGTTCAAAATTATCTGAATTAAAGTGTAGTGCCTAGAACTGAATACAGTATTTGAGGTGAAGTCTAAATAATCCTGTTTCAAACAGAATTATTTCTTCCCTTGATCTGGAAGCTCTGCTTCCATTGATGTAGCATAAAATAATATTTGGCTTTTTTGCATCTACAATACTGGTTATATTCAGTTTGTAACCAACTACTATTATAAGAATTATTTTATAAGTGGTATTACCAGTCCAAGTAACCCTACACCATACCTATATGAATTCTATTTTCTCTGTTTGATTTTCTTATTTCCAACATATTTCTCTAAATAAGCAAGATGATTTTGAATTGTATTTCTGTCTGCTACAGAATTAGCTATCCCATTCATTTATTTTCTGTGGAAAAAATAGAGTTTGTGGGTTGAGATGCAATATTCTGTGTATATAGGAAAATGCAAAAATGCAAACCATGGTATAAAGGCATGCCATAGATGTTGCTACAAGTTTGCTTTCAGATAACAAATGCAAAAACAATTGTATTGTACAGGTTACCAAATGCAAAGCTTCGCCATGCGTGAATTGTAAATTCCTCATTTTAAGCTCTTGCCCTCCTGTTTTAAAGAGATGAAAACAACATCCCATGACTAGCTATCACTTCTTGAAAACAATAGGTTATTTTTATAAGTGTTTTTTCCTCAAGTCTCCCATTTCGTTTTGTGTCTTGTTTATAATATCAGTAGTAGATAGTGAAAACTGATACATTGTGGCGAATGATCATATAGCTACAAGAATATGCACACATTTCAGTATCTGTCTGTCTGTCTCACTTCAGTCAAAAGGCTAGCTATTCAATCCTTTTTCCAATCCAAATCTTTTTATTATCGCTGATGTTTGTTTCAGTAATCCTTCACCATTCCCACATGATAACCCAAATTATTTTGTAGTTTTCCTTTCAATATTCATTATGAGAAGAATAGAAAAGGCAATATTCATGGTGCTCAAGGAGAGGACCCAGTATGCTCTAAAGACTATATGCCAATGAATCTTAGATCTGCATTTCATTAACATAAAGCTTCTGATAGTTGCAGCCAGCAACAATTCTCAGAGAAAGGGCTATTATACTTATGTACAGTACAACAATACTGTAAAACCATACAATGAGAAATTAAGATTCTACAAAACCTAGCTACAAAAGATCATTTTTATTTACTGCTGAGCTGCACCAGTCCTGTGAAGAGAGATAGGAATAGGGAGAAGTTGTACATGTGGATTGTTGAAATGTCAACCCCCCCCCTTTTTTAATACAAATGACTTTATAGCCAGGCTATTAGCCTGCCCTCACTTCTCAACCTAATCTGAGTCATAGCACCCGTAGTGCTGCAATTTTTTTTTAATGTTAAGTTGTTTACTCTGGGGAGGTGTGTGTGAGAGTAAGAGGTAACAATACAGGGGGAAAACATTGACAAGGATAAACATGTCTGTGATTCAGACAAGTCCCTGATGCAAGAAGAAAATGGTCTTTTAGGGAAAGGAGGGAAAAATCTGTGTATGCGGGTGGGATGGGGGAGGGGGCGAGAGTGAAGATACCTAAGAGGAGCATTCTCTGGAAATGAAACAGCGGCTCTTTCACGGAATGCCTACAGAGAATGGTAATGTGGGAATGTTCCAAGACTTGAAGGCATCAAAAAGAAAATGACCAAAGGGACGTGGAGTTAGATGGGGAAAGAACCCGTAAATGTTGAAGACGAGAGGTGGAAAAGAAATACAGCTTGCAATTTCCTCCTAATATACTCAACAGTAAGAAAAGCGAAAAAGATAACCGTCCAACAGAGCCGGGGATCTACCGCCACTATTGCCCGAGAAACCAAAGTCGGACGGAGCACATAGCGTTGTTACCTCCTCACCCCTTCCCCGGCTCACTCGAGGGCGCCAAGCTGTAGGTGGAGCTCGCAACTCCAGTTAATCCAGATCCAGGTTTTCCCAGCGCGCCTCTCTCTCTCTCTCTCTCTCTCTTTCCCCTCTCCTCCTCCCCCTCTTGCTCGGTTCTGTGGGGCTTCGATCCGGGGGCTGAGAGCGGCGTTCATTGGGGAGAGGTGCCTTCCTCCATCCCTCCAGGCATCGTAGTCTTGGCTGTCGGCCCACAGCACTTCCGGGGTCTTACTTGTTCTTTGCTACTGTTCCTGAGCCCAGGACGCGAGCGGGAGCGTCGTTTAGGGCTCCGTTAGACCCTCGCTCGCCTGCCCAGCTGTCTCTCGCCCGGGGGAAGGGAAGGGGCGACGCCAGCCCGGGCTCTGGTCGGAGAAGAGCGAGGAGGACCAGGGGCCGCTGGAGTGGAGCGCACCGGCGGCGGGGATGGCGGCGACCGGGGGCTCGCAGTGCCTGGACAGGTGGCGGCGACGGCGCTGCGGCGGCTCTTCTGAGCACTGAGTGGAGCGCAGCCGCAGCGGTGGGGGGCGCGCGCGCGCGCGCTAGGGCGCAAGGCTGGCCGTCGCGGCGAGCGAGGCGGAGGGAGCGAAGGAGTACAGCGCGGCCCGCCGTGCGGGCGGCCTCTCCCTGGATTCTGGCTCGGACGGGCGCGGCGGTGCGGGACTCGCTCCTCTGGACCCTGCGGAAAGGTAACCCAGCTCGCCCCTCCTTTTCTTTGAGCTTTTCTGTCGGTGCCGCCGCCGGTCCCTCCCTCTCTGCCTGCCTGCTGCGGCTCTCCCGCGGGGACTGGCGGTGTTGTGTTCTGTCTTCTTGGGCGTGAAAGGTTGGAGAGTCTACTTCTCGGCGAGGAGCGGTGCCGGGCATCTGCCAGGAGGCTCCCCGGAAAATGGCCCGTAGATGGGCGTTTGGATGCCACCCACGGCAGCAGCGCTGAGAGAGGAGGGGGAGCGAGACGAAGGAGAGTGCTTTGTACTGGGCTGAGCAATGATGCCCCTCTTCCGCTGCAGCAATCTGATCCTCGCTGGCGGCAGGTAACGGCAGCCCCCTTTCTCCGTGAAGGGGTTGCGTGCATGAGCGGGAGGAGGTCAGCTACATAGCTCTGCGGCGGAGCTAATGTGCTAGGAAGCCAGGCGGTGATGCCATGAAAGGATGGCATCGCGCTTTCTTCCCTCCCCTCCCTTCTCCCCTCCCCTCCCCTCCCCGCTCTGTTTGGGTCGCAGGTACGCTGAGAAGCTCCATCTTTTAAAGGCGGGAGAGGCTGGAAGAGGGACTGGTATCTTTTGGCCCGGGTAGCCTTTAAAAGGGGGTAAGGAAAGATCGCCCGATAGACTCGAAGGGAAGCTGTGCTTCTCTCAGTTACTCAGTCTTTGAAGGGTTCTGGTGCCTGCTTTGGGCAATTTAATCCTTCTCTTGATGGGTCTTTTGGAGCCAGAAAACCGTCAATTTGGAGAGGAATTCTTCCCTTCCCTTCCTCCAGTGACTGTTAATGGAGCCTGCTTTACAGCGCCCCAAGTCTTGGCCCTACCTGGTGTTCTCATTAACGGGCGGGAATTCAATGTCGCCAATAGCAACGGTTCAGCTTCTTTTCAAGCCGCCATAAAAATGCGGTGGCCCAGATGTTTAGCTTTTCTTCTCCAGTTGCTAAGACCGGGGACTCTCTATTTTCTTTATTAGAATATGTGAGAATGTTACATTATTTTGCTTTATGTGCAGTTCTTCTATGCAGAAGTTACTGTTTATAAACCTTGAGAAGGGATTGGTAGAAGACAGATGAAAGCTTCCAGCTGTAATTGTCCAGGCATCCTTATCCTACACTTTAATGAATGAAATTTGTCTTTCCTGCCTTTCCTCCAGGAATTTAAGCTATAGTGCATTTTTCCTCATAATAGCAGTGCTGTGAGCCAGGTTGGACTCAGGGTGGACTTAAGCCTAGGGAAGAGTAGCTCCTGTTTTTATTCTTCATACTTCTGCTTTTTCTGCCATTAATTATCCAGGAGAGGTAACTATTTGCTAGTCTCTTCAGATCGACGTCTACACAAGTATTCTACTTTTATTAAGACAAAAAATAATCTGTTCAGGTGTGCCTATAAATTACATTATCTGTTTTTCCTATAAATGCATTCTTCAGATTGGAATTAAAAAGGAAAAACATTTTTCAGGGCCAAGTTGGTGATTATAGAACAGAAGCAAACAATGCCTTTCAATTTTTCTTGTGTTTTTTAAAGGTAAATCAGCTGTTCTTACAATCTTGCATCTACTGTGTTACTATCACTGAGGTGATGCAACCTCTCTCTTGTGGCTTCAGCTGCTGCTGTTTTGTTGTTTGTCATGAGTGTTATTCCTTTTTTAGCTTAGCATACTCAAAGGAACTCTGTTTTGTTGTATCCTGTTAAAGTACAAAGTAAAAAGAAGATTGGTATTCACAACTGATCTACAGCTGTGCAGAGTGCTGTTTTTTATGTATAGGCCTAAATGCACATTCAGACTGAATTTAAAAAATTTGAAATAAAAATATTTCAATTATGAGAATCTATAGAATTTCAGCAGACGTGATCAGAACAATATATTGTGAAACTGAGTAATTTTTGCATTACTCTAGAATGCAGTTGCCTGCAAACTCCTCAGATATATTGATGTAAGGAAATTATAATTTTTTGCAGTTTCTTTACATGGTGGTGTTTCTAACTTTGAGAAATTACCAAGTAGCATTTATCTTCCAAGATAATTTGGTGGTACATCCGGGCCTTCTGAAAGATGAGATTCGATCTATGTCATTTGTTTCCTGACAGCCAGTATTTTAGATTACTTGTATATTGTATAGACTATGATGTCATCTGGAAAATGAACATCAACTTGTATTCTATTGCAATAAAGAACTACCATGTAGCAATTTTAGTTGCCCCCTTTGTGTGCACTGCCTTTGTCCTTGGGTTTGTACAACAAATTATTTGGATATAGCCTGGAATTTACTTAAGTATATTGCCTCTAACCTGGACCTGTAACAAATAAATTTGGAATTAAAGTTTGCATTGTAGGTGTTAAAAAAAGGTGTAAAAATACATCTCTATCTCTCTTTAACATAAAATGTATGCATGGAAAACAACAGCAGAATTGATTCCCTCTGTTGGGAGTTTACAGTTATGATTATTCCAGGGAGCCTTTTGGAGTGCAGAAAGGGAAGAATACATATGCTAACACACAGTTGAGACAGCTCTGGATGTCCTTCCTTCACTCATGTTTGTTATTTATTGACTTATAGTGGGTGAATCTCTGCAGGAAAATGGGAGCTTCTGACAAAGGAATTGTGTTTCTTAAATCTAGCTCTATCTAGCAGTGATAATTTCCTTAGCAATGAAATAGCTTGCTGGTCACTAGAAACCAACATTTTACCATGTTATCGATTCCTTTCTGAGGGGAGAGATTATTTTAGTCTTCCCCAAACTCTTCCTGTTTTTCGACTTCAAATATCTGCCTTAATTCGACTGAAATTAAGATGCTTGTTGTCTAATCTTAGGAACATTTCAGAATTCTTCTGAATTTCTTAATGACCTATTTATATCCATTGCACAATAATGTTTGAAAGACTTCTTTTAATTATGCATAGATTGACATCTATGGGGAAATAATAGGTGTTTTATTTTTGCCAACAATGTATTTCAGAGGTGACCAATTTTTGGCCTAGAATGGTTTGCACAGGCAACTTACAATGTAAGTTTACAGTAATTTAAGAATCGAAAACGTATGTTCACATTCATGTAAATTAAAAACAGAAGAAACATAGTCCTTTAAAAAAGGGTGACTACTAACATGCATTTTGTTTTACATGGCTTTTAAGCTATATATTTTATATAGCTTAAAAGCCATGTAAAACAAAATGCATGTTAGTAGTCAACCTAAAACCAAATGAAGAAGGTAGCATTCTAATCACATCAAAGATAAAGTCTTGTCTTGTATTCCCACTCATTGAGCATGTTTTGGTGATGGGACAGCAAGGGGCTCTTCAGATATTCTAGCCCCAAATCACTTATAGGTAATAGCCAACAGGATGACTTATGCCCAGAGGCTAGTTGGCAATGGCACTGTTGGATTGTGGCCAGCCTGACTTACAAAGATCTTTCATCTCATGAAGTCACATTATTTTGCTTCTCTGAAGCATCATGGCAGAGCCAATCCACTGATAAGGTTTGCATTGCTTTGAGATAAGAGTCTTTGGTCATCAAAAGTAGAAGCCACTTTTGATGAGCAAAGCAATGCTCCAAGACCACTTAATTCTGTTGGTTAAAAGCAAAGTGCTGTAGTGTTTCATATTTCACAAGGTCTTTAAAGGGTGAAGGAACTTCAAATGAAGTACTGTTTCAAAGTTCTGCCCAGTTCTAGCAGCAGCCAGTGTCATTGATACAAAACTATACTGGTTTATTCAATAATGTACAGTATAAGCCAATCTGGCACAACATTTTGCACTAGTTCTAAATCCTGAGCACTCCACAAAAGGTTCCTCCATATCAAGCGATTCTCTCTCCCCCCCCCCCAGTCATTGCCACCATCACCGTATCTGAGTTGCCGGTGAAGCTTCTATCCAGTTGCCCCTTCTTATTCTTCCCCAACCAGAGCCTGGGCTGCCATTGCCCCTCCTCTCTTCCCTGGACGAGAGGCAGCTGGGCTGACACTGACAAGGGAGGGTCTATTGAGTCCTAAGTAATGGGCAAGCAAGACAAGCGATGATTTCAGTTTTGGATTTTTACTGTCAGCTTTCTTTGCTCAATGTTGGATCACGCTTCATAAAAACCTAGATTTTCCACAAACTGGCATTTCTGGAAGAGATAGGAAAAATAAGCTACTGTGGGATAGGGTAAAGAAAACCTGGTCAGCAAAATTACTATTGCTGCCCAAACACATCTGCAGGGATGAGACACAAACTGCAGTGCACATGACTGGGCCATAAATGTACCTCTCTGACTTTTTACTGCTTATTTTTCTCCCTTACCTGCTCTTCTGATTCTCTTCCTTTGTCAGTTGCCTCTCCCATTTCCAAATCAGAGAAGAGCTCATTGCTCTGTTCTGGTATGCCACCCGTCTCATCCCCTTCCAGGCCAATTAGAGTATGTGGGTGGCAAAGTGGAAAAACAGAAGCACATGCTCATTATCTAACTAGAACAGGAGTTGAGATTTGTTGCCATGGGCTCACTGCTTTTTTTGCCTGTGTGATCACTCACTATGCCATCCATCCTGGTGGTTCAGCTGCTTTCCTAAATACAAGACATCATCCTCATGCGGAAAGGGGGGTAGTCTCTCCTTGGACGTATTTGTGACTTAATGCTCTGTTTTGTTCGAGACAAACAATGCCCGAGTTACAGTATCGGGATTTCTGACAATGAAATTTTCAGATTGTTTTTGCAGCAAAAGTTTCAGAATGTATTTTTTTTAGAAAGTTTTATTAGTTTTTAATATACAATACAATCGAAATACAAAAGCAAATAGCGAAAAAGATGGGGAAGGGAAAGGGGAGTAGAGAAGTGAGGTAAGGGAGAAAAAAAGAAAGAAAGAAAAGGCATTGACTTCTGACTTCCTTTGGTGCAATAGAGAATCAACTTCAAACCTCAACTTTTTACTTTTACAAAATATTATAAACTAGCCATTTCAGTAACATCAAATCTATCTAATTGACAAAGCCCAAAATCAAAATTTCACT